GCTGGACCCATGAATAAAGTCCTCAGGGACCATCCCTCACCACAGGTGATGGCAGGGAAATGGTGGGTCGGGCTGGGTTAGAGCAGTTCAGTTTGAGAAGAATGGGGAATGGCTGTGTGAAGGTAAAACTTAGGGGGCATGGAGAACCTTGAAAAGCAGCATCATCTCTTCAAAGTTATTTATTTTGCATATAGAGAAATCAGGAGTAGAAATGGCAGTCTAGGATGATTTTAGGAAGTGGATGTGACATTCTCCGCCAGTCTCAGTGTGAGACCACAGAAGTGGTGATATGCTCGGTTGCCCCCCTCCCCAGTCTTTGACTCAGAATTTCAGCAGAGACCCTGGACAGAGAAAGGAGGCAGTGCTCTACTGAGACCTTCTTCCTCTGGACCATGTGTGGTTGCTTGAGAACCACACTGTCACTGTTGTGTAGGGGAGCAAGGGACCTGGGGAAGGTCCCCTGGGCATCACTAGCTCATCTCGCAGGTGCTGAGCTCCCAGAGCCATCAACTGACACCATTTACGAGTAGATACTATACATGTTTTTAACACACAAAGATTTTTGAGAGTTACCACGCCCACCCCCCTACCCACCCCCTATTGGCCCAATTGTATGCACAACATTCTCAGCCCTTCCCCCTAGCCTTTACTGAAGTAGCTGGGGGTGGTCAGCATGTTAGAGACTTTAAATCTTAGATCTAGTTCTTCATGAATTCATGGCATGTCTCCCAAATCAAATGCAAACTGTCCACATGCTCATCCACTTGACCTTGACCAAACTAGACTATTCACTGCTCCCTAAACTTCCTCTATGCTTTGCCGCCTCTGTGGCAGCTCCTGGGGAGAAGAATTGTGTCCTGGAACTCCTGGTAAGTCCCTCAGGCCCACCTCTTGTCCCTTCTTGGCATACCTCCCCTTGCCCTTCTATCGATATTCCCCCCTTTTTTTCTACAGTGGATGACGTACAATATCAGATAAAGTGTTCACAATACAGGAGTGTTTGTAGGAAGCTAAAGGGATAACAATGTTTGCTCTTGCCTGGGAGAAGCAAGAATGCCAAGAAAACTCATTGGCCGAAGATGATATGAAGTCTCTGTCCACACCCAAGTGGTTTGCTGAAGACAACTCAGTTAGCCTGTGTGAAATAAAGCCCATATGTCCCCGGGTCCACTTCCTGGCAGTGAGAAGTAGCTCCCTGACTTGGGTTTGGAGGGGAGACAGTGTCTTTTAAAGCAGGAGGCAGAGCTCAGATGCCCTCCAGAGCCCTGCAAACTTATCAGGGCACAAAGCAGGGCAAATGAGACTACATGCTGAGCTGAGTCCTAAACCTCCCTGGAGGCCTAATTCATGGCAAAATGAAGTACCTCCATGGGTGGTCCCCAACTAGAGGCCTACAGTTTGCTACCTTTCTGGATTAATCTGTGATTACATAGTTGGGAAAAGGTTTTATTTTTCCTGTCTCCATGTTTACATTATTCTAGAATAACAATTAAGCTAAAATAGCAGTGATAAATCAGAAGGCTAGACACAAGCTCATGTACACCTATAGCAGAAGAACACATGAATGTGAGAACAATCAGGAGGCCACAACAAGTTGGCATCAACTCACAACCGCGTTCCACCATATCAAAGGCCTCACTCCATGTTAAATCTTGAGATGTTGCTAAGGTACACAGGAGGGCAGTGTATAGCAAAGCATTATTCTCACTGGTGACAATACAGTAAATCACAAGGAGAGGAATTAACAGGACTTTAATATTGTACGGTTTAGAGCATGACCTTGGAAGAGAGCCGAAGTCCAACTAGAGAAATTGAGATAGATTTAAGAATCTCAAATGGCATGAATTTAATATAGACAGTTGGTCATAGAAGAGAGCTGAGAAGCCAACTGTATGGTGAGTCACCTCAGTATTTGCAACAGCAGAAAGGCACTACTGTCCCTAGGGCCAGATGGAACAACGGAAGAAGGAGGTAATGTTCCCAGGGCCTGGGTTATGGAGCACCCAACAGACGCTGGCGTCAGGGTGGACCTGCCTGTGTGACCAGGAACGAAATGCCCTCCCATCATCTGCTAAAGCATCCCTTTGGTCAGTCTACATGTTACCTGGAGGGCAGGAGTTCCTGGAAAGCGTATACAGTTCCCTGTAGTTCATAGTATGGTCATTGACTCCCTGGGCGGTTTGGGGCAAGTCACTCAACTTCTCTTTGCCTTAGTGTCCTCAACTGTAAGACTGGGATAATGCCTTTCTTTGCCTGTACAACTTATCCAACAGTGGTCATGACAAGATGAAAATGACCATAAAGGACAGTGACTGGCCTTCCATCTTAGGCTGTGATAAGATAAAGAAAGGAGTGGATATCCTGGATTCCCTTGCTGGGAGCCATGCCATAATCTTTAGGCTGCCTTAATATCACTAACCATCCTCTCATTGGTAATTCTTCCCGTGGGCCACATGGGTGATACTTGGGTCCCATACTAACTTTCAGTCAGTTTCACAGCATGAACTCGGAGGTCTTTCGCTGTGGACTCGCGGGACACACATTCCTCTCTGTGCTTACTGCTGAGGCACAGAGATGCTCAGAGAACTAAGAAACTTGCTCAAGGAAACCTGAATAAGAAGTAGTAGGCTAACCGGTAACTTCTCTTCTCTAACTGGCTACCCTCCACAGAGTACTGCCCCTGTACCCAACACTGGCATCAACCACATCTCTCTGCTCCATATTTTCAAAACAGAATTAAAAAAAAAAAGATTAGTGGAAAGTCTAACGTAAAAAGTTAAATAACTGACGTCTCTCCTCCTCAACCTTATCAGCATCGGAAACCTCCGTTAGAAGGAGAGAAAATCTGGCTCGTCCAGCACACCGGTGTGTGGGGTCTGCATTTCCAAGCTCATGACTTGAGGCTCTGGAGCCGGGGTGTGGCACCAGATCCACCAAATGTGGTCATTTGGTGTCTGACACCACAGACACATGCTAATTAGCCAGCAGGAGATATGTAACTGCTAGCACTTGAGAAGCTGAAAGTATTTGTGACGTTAAAAAAAAAGTATAATAAGCCATGAAGAAGGCAAACCACAGTTACCAGTAGATTCAAAGAACATCATCTGACTCTTCTGGGGTTTGAATATTTGCCACAAACATGCATAACTTTTATAAAGATTCCCAAAATGCTTCTCAAAATTCCTTTGGTAGTGGGGAGGGTGCGACTGCCATAGCTCTTCCACCAAGGCCCTGCTTCCAAATTAGCTGACGAGAAATAATGGCTTTCCTTCCCAAAGAGTCTCTTAAAAATAGTGGCATTGCCTTAGAAATGCCTTCCGGTCCTTGAAAGAACCAGGTAGACTAGGAGTTCACCGTGGAGGTCTGTGTTCCTTGTGGAAAAGTAAATCGTCTGCCTGACCTGATGCTCGGATGAGCACCTGCACCCGGGCTGAGAGCAGGTATAGCTTCTCTACAACACCCACCCCGCCCTCTCTTTTCTCCGGTGTGAGACTGAGCAAGGCTGTCCTCACAGCCACCACCCGCCCCACCCCACACTCACTTCCTTCCCCGTTTAAAAATGTCTGATTTGTCTTAAATCCCAAGCTTCTGAGGAGATTCTGATTTTAAAAGGATGAAGTGTCTACAAGTCCAAACTGTTCTTAAGTTATCTGAACCTGCCTTTTGCTGTAAATTACCTTTCTTATACCCTTCCACAGTCCTGTGCTGGAGCCCTTACTATGATACTTATCACAACTCCCCCACCTGTGGGGTATGTGATGCAGGCACCTCTGCCTTTACCTACCTGGAGGCTCCGTGACAGAAAGAACCAGAGCTTGACCCTCTTTGCATCTCACCCCGGTTCCATCCCACTGACCCCAAGCACATGGCACTTGTCTGTAATGATAGGAGGTGTTCAGCATTTGTTTACAGAACCTGATGGGCGCAGCGAGATCCCAAATACACAGTCCTAGAACTAATATACCCCGGGACCTCAGTGGATCTGTTATAAGTGCATTCATACAACACAACAGCCAGACAAAGTCATGCTGACTTCAGCTCCCAATTAAATAGTCTATTGAGAAATATAACCCACTGATGGATGTCTTAATGTTTAAGACTAATAATTAAAAAAAAAAAGTTGGCCCTTTAGACATTGAATCAATATCCAGTGGAAATCACATGATCCTGGACTTCCTTGAATGCTCCCGAACCATGAATAACCAGAAGTCTTATATGTGCCTTCCTAAGGCCCTCATTTGTATAGGGAGTGTCATCAACAAGGAAGAGGTGCCAGTCTCCCAAATACATCATCCCAGCATTCTCCTTCTCTGATGAGGGAAAATGAGACACCTTGACTCATGAATTTGACAGTTTTCAGATGATGATGAAGTGTAAGCCATGTTTCACCCAAGTTATTGTCCTGCATCACATGCCACGGAGCATCGGGGAGGGACTCTGGAAAGTAGCCCATTTCTCCTCCCTCTCCTACTATCTGGAAACTGATCCCATTTTATCTCAATTTCAGGCATACCTGTGCAGGCTTGGGGTGTGACTCAGCCTGAATTTACGCCTTGATCCTGAATATGTCCAAAGCTGGACTGCTTTGGTCCCAGGCGAGCTTCAGACTCCCCCAGGGCTTTAGGAAGAAAGCTCAGAAATACCACAGTGGGGACAAGGCAGGTCCAGACTACATGCCCTAGGACAGCTCCCAAGAGGAGGGGGTCTTTCCCACCTATATCTATAACCAGCTCTGAGTGAGACCTGGACCAGCTCCTGGAGCCTAGAGGGCATCAGGATAGCTGTGTGCTCACCTCAAGTTTGCTTCACCCTTTAGGTTTGCAATTAACTTGGGCTGAGTGGGCGTGGCCTATGGGGTAAGAGACATAGGTATGAAGCATCAGGAAACACGTCATATTGTCATCACTGTACTATTACAGGAATTGCAGCCGTTGCTTACTTGTACCTATGTCTGTGTCCTGCAACCCTTATAAAGTGGATGAACACACCTTGCCACCCAGTCTCAGCGTGCTGCGAAGCCCGTCGGCCATGAGAATCTATTACCTTCTCTTCGTGTTGCCCTTCCTGTTCTTGATGCCTGTTCCAGGTAAGATGGGTCGGGAGGTGAGTGGGTTGAAGGAGTTGCAAAGAGGTCAGTCCCTCCTCATCCTTCAGGGAGCTTTACACCAAGGAGATTTGTTGTATAGGAACAGAAGTCACCGTTTTCTTTTCTGTTGAGGATCATAGCTCACAAAGATGGTTGGAAAGCTTCATGGAAACATGGTTTTACTCATTCATGAGACATAAAGACAATAATACAAAAACTTTTAACACCAACGGGGAAGATTGATTTAATCTGAGCTCAGAAGCACAGACTTCCACTTGCTAGCTTGCTGGTTCCAAGTAAAGTCTTTGGGCCTCTTGAGACCCAGGGGACCACAACCACCCCAGCTCCTGACCCTGTGGGTTCCCACGCTTGGGTGCTCCCAGTGGCCACGCTCCGCCCCCCCCCACTGCCACCACTGTGGTCCTTGGCTGGGCTGTGGCCCACAGAAGCCCAGCTGATTGTTGCTTAGTCCTCCCTTACTTTACTTCTCACTTTATAGAAACATAAAAGGAAATTTATTTATTTACTTACACATTTTTTTAGTGTTTTATTTAATTCTGAGACAGAGAGAGACAGAGCATGAGCTGGGGAGGGGCAGAGAGAGAGGGAGACACAAAATCCGAAGCAGGCTCCAGGCTGCGAGCTGTCAGCACAGAGCCAGATGCTGGGCTTGAACCCACGAACTGTGAGATCATGACCTGAGCTGAAGTTGGACGCTTAACCAACTGAGCCACCCAGGCGCCCTGGTAATTTTTTTTTTTAAAAAAGAGGATACCCTAAAATAAAAGAAAAACAAACAATTCCCTTGAGTGATTAATAGTGATTGGAATAATATTTTATTAAAAAAGGAAATTACAAATTGGTATCAACCAAATCCTAACCAGTGTCTTTATACCATGTGTTTTTTCATGTTTTAATTGAAAGAAATGTAAAGGTTCTCCCCATGAGGTATACAACTAGGATTATACCTGAATTCACTTTCCAACTACCTGACCCTAAGTAGCAGTGTATATTGAAGTCAGGGAGGGGGGGTGAGAATAAAAGAAAGGTAACAGATCGGATAGTTGGGGATCCCTAAAGCCATGTACTTGGACCAAGCCTTCCACATGTTCTGCTTTTTCACCGTAGGAAATGGAGGAATTATAAGCCTCCTGCAGAAGCAGTTTTGCAGCTTAAGAAGCGGCCGCTGTGCTGTGCTGGGCTGCCTTCCAAAGGAAGAACAGATCGGCCGATGCTCTCTCAGTGGCCGAAAGTGCTGCCGAAGAAAGAAATAACAAATCCAGATACCCGACGGGAGTGGTGTAAAGCGTTGTAAACGGCCTCTTGGAAGTTTGTAGAAGCAAAATGAAATTAAAAACTTTCCCCAAAACAATTAGAAGCTTGATTTTTTTTTAAAAAATCTGGTGATTGTGGTCACTGTTACCAAACTGACAATTTAGAACGTGTGCCTGGACTCACCTTTCGACACTCTGTAGGAATCCCCAGGGGGACCTAAACTTATTTTCCAAGGGTTATCTGGTTTGACTCCCCTTTTGCAAATTATGGACCCCAGTGAAACCGGCCTGCTTGCTCTCCCCGAAATATTCCCTTTGCCCTCCTATCGCCGGCGCCTCTGCCCCCGCTGACCTCATCGCGGGCATGTAGTCACCCTTCCGGTGAACTTTAACCCATCCCTCCCCTCCCCAGGCCATCGCAAATCCTACCTTCTCCTTAAAAAGAAAGCGGCTTTCCAGAAGGAATAGATTTCCTCTGACTCACTGCAGGGTTCGGACCCAGGGCTCCTTCTGTGAATCTTGCTTGATGGCTGTGTCCCGTACATTTGCATATTTCCAATCCCCGTACTTGGTTGCATCACTTTTTAAGGGCACGGACTTTGTCTTGATCCTGCCTGGACCGCCCGGTAGAGCGCCTGGAGCCTAACAGCCGCTCGGTGGTTAGCGAAGCACATTCCAGCGGCTTGAAGGTGCTGCGGTTGGAAGAGTGGTCTCCAGATGTTGGTTCCGACGGTTCCAGGAGACGCAGGTGGAGACGTTTCCCATCTTCCCCGACACCAGCCCTGTACGCACACAAGACACCTGGCTGTCAGGGAGAGGGGAGCAGACTCCCAGGGAGAAGAGCCTGGGTCCCACTTCCCATTAAGAGAAGGATGGACAGCTGTGGGAACTGCCTTCCTACAGGACGCAGCTGGGGAAGCAGACAGATGCCAGGCAGTTGTTCCAGACGCTGGACATGCAGCAGTGCGGGGCCGTGACAGACGGCGAGGCCTCAGTCTCCTGTGGGAAGCAGGTTTCAGCCCAAAGCTCCAGGAAGAAGGATCCAAGCCGAGCAGAGATGGATCAAAGTTCAGGCAGCACGAGATGCTGCCTTCCCAGCACCAGAAACCAGAGCGGGGGCATCTGGACGGGGACGGAGCTCCCAGGTGCAGAATAGGGCCCTCTCGAATCCTGGCCGGACTGCCTGGCTCAGCACCTTGGTGCTAAACTTGGCAAGCCCAGAGGAAAACAAAACCACCCGACAGGGATTGGATGGAGAATTCCAGGAACACACACACCCGTCTGGGACACCCGCATTCCCACCCGCAAGGTGGAGACAGTCCTCACAAAGGGACGGCATTGGTAACCCTGCTCTGGAGCTCTGATGTGGACTGTTCTGGAACTACACCGCGGGGTAATGATGAATCACTGTAGGTGCATCAACTGTAGGATATACTCTCTGGCCAGATGTGGATAGTGAGGGAGAGGCTGCGCGTGTGTGAAGACAGCGGGGATGTGGGAAATCTTTGTACCTTCTGCTCAGTTTTGCTGTGAGCCTAAAACTGCTCTAAAAAATAAAGTCTATTTAAAAAAAAGGTAAAACTTTTTAAACAACAAAAAGTTAACAAAATTTCTCAACAGAAAACCTGCAGTATTAATTTTTTTTCTTTAGGCAGAAGAAGAATGCCAGATGGAAATTTGACTCTACATGCTCAGCTAAGGTTTGATCACAAAGGCAGAGACTGTCAGCTCCTTAACAAATAAGATAATAAGAGTGGCACCTGGATGGCTCTGTTGGTTAAACATCCAGCTTCAGCTCAGGTCATGATCTCATGGTTCGTGGGTTTGAGCCCCGTGTTGGACTCTGTGATCACAGCACAGAGCCTGGAGCCTGCTTCACATTCTGTCTCCCTCTCTCTCTGCCCCTCCCCTGCTCGTGCTCTGCCTCTCTCTCTCCCCCCAAAATAAATAAACATTAAAAATATCTTTTGATAATAAGATGCATGCTGTCTATAAGTATCCTATGTGAGATATTAAATGGAAAGACAAAGATAGATTAAAAAGAAAAGAATGGAAGCAGAAAAGACTGATCTAAAGAAAACAGAATTAGCTATGTTGGCTAATTACCTATAAATCAAAGTAGATTTTAGAAGGAGTATTACCAGGGATAAAAGGGGATATTTTTCCCAGCCATAAAGTGGTAAATTCACAAATAACGCATATTACATAATACAATACTAAATTAGAATGCTCTTAATAAGAAAATCCCAAAAGTTGTAAAGGAAAACTGATAGGAGAGGAGAAATGGACACTTTAGCAATTACTAGTAGATACTGCGACACTTCATTTGTAATGAAAAGAAAAAACAGAAAAAATATCAGTGATAATGTACAGAGGACAGAAACAGTATCATGCAGTGTGACCTGACTAGAATTTATAGGACATTCTATGCAATGATCACAGAATCCATTAAAATGTTATATAATATAGCCCATATTGGGGCTATAATACAAGTCTTAAAAATCAAAACAATTTAAAACTATTCAATGTATATCATACATAGACACACGCTATGTCTGTCCACAGTGCAATTTGCAGAGCTATCAGTAAGAGAGAGGTATCTGGAAAAATCCACCAATATGTGGAAAGTAATCAACAGGTTTCTAATGGGTAAAAAGAAGAAATCACATGGGAAGTTTAGAAAATATTTTAAGTCCATCAAGAATGGAAACAAGATAGCAAAGTTTGTGGGAAGGCAGCTTGAGCAGTGCTTAGAGAGAAATTTGTAGCATCAAATGCTTTGAAGGGGCATCTGGGTGGCTCTGACCATTGAGCATCCAACTTCGGTCAGGTCATGATCTTGCAGTTGGTGGGTTCGAGCCGCGTCGGGCTCTGTGCTGACAGCTCGAGCCTGGAGCCTGTTTCAGATTCTGTATCTCCCTCTCTCTCTGACCCTCCCCTGCTCACTCTGTCTCTTTCTCTCTCTCTCTCTCTCAGAAATAAATAAAACATTAACAAAAAAAAATTTTAGTACTTTTTAGATAGTCAAAGCTCACAAATTAACAACGTGAATTTCTACCCTAAGGAACCAGAATAAAGGGCAGTAAAACCGAAGTAAAAAGGATAAAAGTGACTGAAGAAAATGGACTCATAGTAAAAAAAAAAAAAATTTTTTTTTAAGATCTTCTCTTTGAGAAGATCATAACATTGCTAGAGCTCAAACTAGGTTCATTAAAGGGGGAAAGAAAAATAAAAAGGAAATCACAAGATGTCTCAGATATACACGCCCCCTTCAGGTAGGCAGGAAAACGAGAAGGAACATTTGGGCATCTGTGGGCAATGTGGTCAGAAACTCCACCGGATGACAGTAATTCACACCCTCATCATTACCTCCTGCAGGTCAGGCCATAGCCTCTTCTTTTTTCTCTTAAGTTTAAGATATGCTGGGGCGCCTGGGTGCGCCATTCAGTTAAGTGTCCAACTTTGGCTCAGGTCATGACCTCATGGTTTGTGAGTTTGAGCCCTGTATTGGGCTCTGTGCTGACAGCTCAGAGCCTGGAGCCTGCGTGGCATTCTGTGTCTCCCTCTCTCCCTGCCCTTCCTCCACTTGACTATCTCTCTCTCTCAGAAATAAATAAACATTTAAAAAATAAAACAACAACAACAACAACAAGATGTGAGGCCAAAAGCGATTACATATCCAATGCAATCACTATCTAAGTCCCGAGGGCCATTTGTACTCCTTCTTTGGAAAATGTCTATTTGGGTCCTTTGCCCATTTTTAATTCAGGTTGTGTGTTATGTTCCTATCGAGTTGTACGGTTTCCTTACATATTTTGGATGTTAAACTCTTATCACATATACGGTTTGCAGACATTTTCCCAGTCTGGTTGCCTTTTCCTTTAGTTGTTTCCTTTGCTCCAGGTGGTCAACAGACACATGAGAAGATTCTCAGCGTCACTCCTCATCAGGAAAATGCAAATCAAAACCACACTGAGATACCACTTCACACCTGCCGAAATGGCTAGCATAAAACAAATAAAAGCAGATGTTGGCAAGGATGTAGAGAAAAGGGAACCGTGGTAAACTATTGGCGCAAATGTGAATTGATACGGCCACTATGGAACACAGTAAGTGGGTTCCAAGGAAGGAAGGAAGGAGGAAGGGAGGGAAGGGAGGGAGGAAGGAATGAAGGAAGGAAGGAAGGAGGAAGGGAGGGAGGGAGGAAGGAAGGGAGGGAGGGAGGGAGGAAGGGAGGGAGGGAGGGAGGAAGGAAGGAAGGAAGGGAGGGAGGGAGGAAGGAAGCCTATATGATCTATATGAGTATATACTAAAGGAAACAAAACCAGGGCCTTGAAGATGTATCTCTATCTCATGCTCACTGCTGCATTATTTACAATAACCAAGATATGGAAACAACCTAAGTGTCTGTCAATGAATAAATGGGTAAAGAACTGTGATATACATACAATGGAATACTAATAAGCCATTAGAAAAAAAGAAATCCCATCATTTGAGACAACATGGACAACACTGAGGGCAAAATGCTAAGTGACGTAAGAGACACAGAAAGGAAAAAGAACTCCCTACTGTCACTGATATGTAGAATCTGAAAGAGTTGAGTACGTAGAAGCAGAGAGAAGGACGGTGATTACCGGGGCAGGGAGTTACGTAAGACGAATTAGCCTAGCGGTCTCGTGTACAGCACATGACTCTGGTTAGTAATTCTGTATTGAACCCTGGGAATTTGCTAAGAGAGTAATTTCAAGTGCTCTCACCACACACACGAGAGATGGTAACCATGTGAGGAGATATGCTAATTAGCTTGGTTGTAGCAATCACTTCACTATGTGCACATATCAAATAATTTTGTATACCTTCTATATATACAATTTTTATTAAAAAATAAAAGAATAGATTAAGAAGTATGAAATGGTGTTAGTAAATACAGATTTCCCAGTTCACTGAAAAATACGGTCTGCAGCAATCAGGGTACTTTTATGATCCAATTAATATTCAGTCTTATTTCCAACTTTAT